GACTTATAATTAATAAAAGTGTAAAATAGATAAAAGGATGATACTTAAATATGGTTTATTTCCGCTATCTTTTTATCAAAATTATTAATAAGTACTCATTTCTTTTGTACTTATAGTGGAAAATAGATCTTATTCATAAAAAAATCTGGAAAACACGAGATCAAATATAAAAGAGTAATTAGGAAACACATCTCAAATGTAAAGGAACGCATTAGTCATGTTTTCATGATAAAATTACTTTTGAAAAATACCTTATTACAAAGAATGAATTTGGTACCGTCAGATCCTGGATTACCGTTTAAGTTTCAAAGAACATAGTTTCTAATATCTTTATGTTTTGGCATGACAATCAATAAGAGTCATGGCCAAACATTATCATTTGTTGGATTATTCTTGACCAAATCGATATTCACTCACGGTCAACTTTATGTTGCAGTTTCACGAGTGAAAACTAAGAAAGAATTGAAAGTGTTGGTTTGAGATGACAACGGTAACTCATGCAATTGCACGAAAAATGTGGTTTACCCTGAAGTTTTCCAAAAAATTTGGATTTAATTGATACATTTATATGTTCTTTTCAATTTTTTATATACATGAATTTAAGTTAGCATACTATGTTTATTTGCATTTATTTTTTTATTATTTACTTAAAACAAAAAATTAGCAGAGTTAAAATAACATGCGTTCGACCCCGTGCGTTGCACGGGTTAAATACTAGTTTTATATATAAAGATAAGAGTAAATTCCATAAAAGGTTCTCAATTACAGGTCGTTTTACATATTTAGTTCTTATATATCAAATATTACTAATTTAGTCCCCAATTATTAGGAAAAATTATCCAAAATAATCCCAACTTTACCCGATCTTTCAAAAATAATCCCACCTTTCACTCTGATGCATAATAATCCCAACTTTACTGAAATTTGTCAGTTTTGGGTCGCCGTTAAGTTTGTATTAGAGGGTTAACGAAAATGCCCATTTTAGGCAACAAAATGAAAGTTGGGATTATTTTTGATGAATTTTCATTTTTTTTATTTTTTTTAAATTTTTCATTTAATTTTTTTAAATTACTTTCTACCTCCATCGTCATTTCTTTTTCCTTTTTTAAAGATTAGTCTTAGTTTAAAAAATAAAAATAATAGATATAAAAAATGAAAAAAATGAGAAATGTAACTAAAATGATACAAAAATAATAAAACAAATAAGGTAATCAATGGAAACTAACTTGAAATTGGTAAAAGTAAAATAAAAATATACGGGTGGTTTTAATATTTTACGCATTATACAAAGTATTAACATATCACTTCTTATTTTTTAGAAAAAATTATCTAAAATAATTCCAACTTTACCGGACGACTTGTTCTTTTAAAAAATAAGTACTCCCTCCGTCCTGCTATATTCGCCCACTTTTGACTTTAGGAACTGTTCATTTAAGCACTTTGACTCATCAAATTCTCTCAATGTGTAAGCCTAAATATAGTCATGTGTGATTTTGTTTGATTTGTCTTAGCATATAGATTATTAATATATAATTTCTATAATTATTTAATATACAAATTAGAAGATAAAATGGATTAAAGAAGTGTATTGGATGGTGTGTAAAAATGAAAGTGGACATATACTCTGGGACGGAAGAAGTAGTACATTAAGACTCCGTATAGTGTGTAAAATGTTAAAATCCACCACTCCGTATATATTTATTTTATTTCTTACCAGTTTCTGTTTAATTTCTATTGACTACATTATTTATTTGATTAATTTTGTATGGTTTTAGTTATTTTTCTCATTTTTATTATTTTTTATATCTATTTTTTCTAAGGTAAGAATAATCTTTAAAAAAGAAAAAGAAATTGAGGTTGAAAGTAATTCAAAAATTTTAAATAAAAATTTCAAAAAAAATTAAAAAACAAAAATTCATCAAAAATAATCCCAACTTTCATTTTGTTGCCTAAAACGGGCATTTCCGTTAACCCTCCGTTAGAAATTTAATGACGACCCAAAACTTGCAAATTTCAATAAAGTTGGGATTATTATGCATCACAGTGAAAGGTGGGATTATTTTTGAAACACCGGGTAAAGTTGGGATTATTTTGGGTAATTTTTCCCAATTATTATATTCATTTCCACAAATGGTCCTTTGTTAACATTTACGTTAAGAACGTGGATAAAATTGTAAATTCACACTCTTTTTTCTCCTCAATTAAGATTTCTCCCACCCTCGCACGTATTTCTCAAAACCCGTCGCTGAGTTTCAAGCTTTGAACCCAAAACCAAAATCATCACTCTTTTTATAAATTGTTTGCCTAACTGGTGGAATCCAAAATTGAAACTTGTAACCTTCATAGATGAGTTGTAATGTTTATTTTCTTTGAAATTTCTTGAGACTAACTGATAAAAATTATCTATAAAGTTTATTGATTTTGATTTTAGGTTTAACAGGAAGACTTATAATTGCGAGAGGAATGATCATTTCAGTTTTGGATTTAGAATTTCAAACTCAACTACGAATTTAGAAAAGAATACGAGAGAAGGGAGGAAGAGAAGATTTAAAATATTTGTTTTGTAGTGAGTAAGAAATATCACAGAAGGCTTCTCTTTGAAATAATTGAGTAATTGACTGTCCCCGTTTTCTGCCTATCTCTGACCCTCGACGTGATGGCCACCGTGAGATCTACAGTGCCGCCGTCTTCATCAAAAACCCGATGGAACAAACTCTCAGTCCACGCATCTCGCATCTACTTTGTTCTCATCATCCTTCAGATACCTCTCTTCAGGTACAAACACAGCTATATGCGCTTGGATGTTAATAACGGCCTTGTGATTCACTCTGCGTTCGCCACTCTGACATCTTCAATGTGTGTCATGTTTTCACCGTCTGCTTAAGCTTTGTTTCATTTAATTGGGATGTTATTTTCAACTATTCTTTAAAGTAGCGTATGAAAAAAATAGAGATAATAAAATGACAAGAAAGAAATTTTAGTAGGAATTTTTCAGCGGTGTTTTGCACGTCTTTGATTGTGTTAAACTATTTAAAGTTGGTGAATTTAGTTTATTGAAACTCTAACACTATGTTTGGTTCAAGGAATTTGAAAGGGAGAAAAGAAAATGAGATGAAAACCAATTTTTCTTGTTTGGTTAGAGAAAAAAGATAAGAAAATGTGAAAAAAAGGAAATGAGAAGACGAATATTACTAAGAAGAGGAAAAACCAATTTCCTCTCATTTTGGTGAGGAAAATGATAGAAACCCATTTTTTTCTTTTCCTTCCAGATTCCTTGAACCAAACATACTGTAATGAATCATTTGAGTTGGAAAATGATAAAAAAAAATTAACTTGATGGATCTCATTTATGTTCATAAATAACTTAAATAGATTAACTATGATATGGGATATGTTTAATGTAGGTCAAATCTTCTCTCAGTCCCATTTTTCCCATTTTTTAATTTTTCTTCTTCATATTTTGGCATTGTCTAAAATTGTGTGAACTCTACCAAATTTGGTATGAATTATGTGGATTAAATCAATTCATAATTTAAAAACTCAATGTTAACTACACAATTCCACTTATCTTTGTTTCTTTTTTATTTTGCATGCCACTCCCCTTGTCCTGAACTTAGTGGGATGAAAGAGTACTGAATGTCATGTTTGGACTACAGCTGGATGGTTGAAAAATAGCATTTTGAAATAGTTTTATTGGTGTGATTTTACGTTTGACGTAGAAGAGTACTTTGTCTTGAGATTAGAGTTAACATAGGATATTTGATAAGGAACAATGTTAAGGAGCATGTTAGGTGGCTTGAACCGCCTTGGATGAATGTCTTTGGTTCATACAACCTGTGCACAGTTGACAAAACTGATATGAACTAATCCAATTAGATGTAAAGTTCAAGCTAATTAGGTGTAAAGGTTTATCCTTCCAATGCGACTTCCCTGAGCGCTCAACTCTTCTTAATACTTTGAATTTCATTTCGATATGCTATCCTTACGGTTGTCACCAATGCCAACACAATCTTAATCCATAATTTTGAGCTTCTCTGATTTTCTATTGAGGACAAGGAAAGCTACTTTTACACTTGTTGAGGATTACTCTGGGTAATGATTAGTGGTGCGAGATTATCTTTCTTCACAACCAATCCATATATTTGACGATTTAATTGTCAACACTAATGATATGTTTGGGAGGATATTAAATAAGGCGTGAGAATGAAAGTAACTTAGGGTTGGTAGTAAGAGGTATCTTTAGGGCCTGTGGTGAGAAGAAAAGATATGGGTTTCAATATCAAAGATATGGGATTCCTAAAATTTATGTTTGGTGAAGGTAAAGGGGAATTTAGAATTGAAATCTGGAGATGTCCAAATTCTATAAAAAAAAAGCCGCTTCTCCATATCCGAATAAATTTGCCAGTATCAAGATCGCGGATATTACGCAATCCAAACAGGAGCTCGAGCAATTCACCGGCTTCTTCCTCTTCACCCACGGCCAGCGGCGCAACAGCACATCGCCCGATCCCCTGCCCTCTCCAGCGTCCGCTCCATCTCCTCCCAGTGCCACAAGCAGATCCGGCTGCCGTAGCCTCACCAGCATAAGCCCACCATGAAGCTCCCACCCACCCTCCCAGATTCCAGCTATCCCAACACCCCAACGGCCAACACCCAATAATTTCTCCCTCCTAAGCTTCTTCCGTCTAGTGCTGGGAGAATTTCGAGCCTCCTGGTGATTTTTGTCAATAAAGCTGTTCTCGAGTCATAATCAGCACAATATACTTTTTTCTCGCCAAACACTTTTCATTCAGATTTCAAAACCCATATTATTTCTCTCAAGATTCAAAACTCATATCTTCAAAACTCACCAAACAGGCCCTTAGAGAAGTAATCTATATAATGATTCAAATATAGGTTTTTTTATCTCTCCTCACAAAAGCACTCCCCTTCTTGAATCCTCAAATTCTACACTCTTATGTTTTGTTCCATTGATTTTCTAAAAGATCAAATCTAAGATATTAAAACAATACATGAATTTTACCCCAGTACATCCCCAACTAACTCATTCCCCAACAAACTACCCACAATGAAAAATATAGTTATAAGCACATTCAGATAATTTTTACAATTTTAAAAAGTGAACACACGTAGTGAATGTATGATTTAACTTTATTTTCTATTTAAAGAGTGCGTGAGATATAATGGTTCAAATATTAAAAAATGGATTTTTTTAACCAATATAAGCTAGGTTTTGAAGGTAGTTCGAAATATAATTTAAAACTTTGTACTAGCTCCGTCCGACTGTCCCAAAATATTTGTCCAGTTTTGATTTTTTCAGTCAACTGTTTTCAACCCTTGACCTATAATTAAATAAAATATAGAGTATATTTTATATTAATTAGATAAAATAGTATTTTAAAATTATTTTATATGATAAATATAATGAAAAAAATTGTATCAATATCTAATACTTCCTCCGTCTCATAAAGATGTTCCTATTTTGACTTTTAGGAAATTTAAGAGAGGGATATTTTTGGTAAGGCATTATAGTCACCTAGATGTTGCAATTGTACCCCTTCCAAAATGTCATTGTTGTGTTTAGGAGTTCAACTCTTATGAATAAAGCTCATTTATGGGTGTCAAGGGCTTTTTGCATTATACTCAAGGAAAATATTCAAACATTGAACCAAAGGCAAAGCACAATATGAAAAATTTTCATTTTTCAATTCGTCTATAAACCAAAGGCCATTTGTCAAGGTGTTGTTGCAAGATACTCAAAGATAAAGATGCAACTTTTGAATTGCAAAGCAAAATATGCAAAATTTTTAATTTGCAACGACAATGGGACTCCTTTCTTTTATTTGTGTCCTTGACATTTTGCCGAAAGTACAAGGTCATACGCTTGAGGAGCCTAAGGGGAGTCATGTATGTGATTGTGTGTGTAATAAATATATGCAACGCGATGTTGAGACGTATGTTAGAACTTGTGCAGGGGAGACTAAAGAGTTTCTTATCACGATAGGGTTACTCCAAGGAGCATCATTATTTGCAACTCTTATGGAAGAGTTTCAATAAAATACAAGAGTGTCCTAGACAAGGCCTGCAGTCTATGTTATTTTTGGATTATAACATTTTAGTGGATGAAAGTAAGGGTTAAACATTAGGGTCTGTTTGGTGAGTTTTAGTAGGGGTAAGGTCTGCGTTTTAGAAGGTTATGATATGAGTTCTGAAATTTGAAAGAAAAGATATGTGTTCTGATATCTGGATGGCCGACATCGATAGGTGGTTGGCGGTGGATGGTGGCTGGCAGCAGGAGGTTGCTGGTGGGTGGCCTTCGGCGACAGCATATGACTGGCAACAGTGGGTGAGCGACGAGGTGGGTTGCTGCGACGGTGGCCGACGGTCGAGGGAAATATGAAACCCCAGATTGATATCTCACGAGTTTTGTGACATTTGGAGATATGAAATCTGAACCCAGTTTAGGCTTCACTAATCCCCCAAAAAGGTGTTCTGATATTGAAGATATTAGAACTCATATCTCGTATCCTCACCAAACGAGCCCTGAGTTGGAATATGGAGATACAAGTTTAACAAAGTTTTAGTTGCGGGGCTAGACTAAACAAGAAGATCACACTAAATTTTCCTTGCTTCTCATGTATGAAGTTTTGGGGAGCACATGAAGCAATGTATCAAGGGTCTTAATTGAAACAATCTTGAGTTTGTTGTTGTTGTGGTTGTTGAGTTTCAATCATGAAGAATTAAGCTAAGTCGAAGTGAAGGAGTATTTAGAGAGTATATTTACTATTGCTAAAATTAATAAAAAAGTGGAATTAAACATTTAGCAAGTACTTGAAATAGTTGCAAGTTGACTGGAGTTGAATGGAGCAACATGCAAATTATGTTATTGGATTATACTAGTCAGATTGAAGGGAAATTTGTATGAGTGTTACAAAAATGGCTTTATACGGATTTGAGTGCTGAGCAATGAAGAAAGGTTTGAATCACTTGATAAAGAAGACGAATGAATATGTTACAAATACCATTGATGTGTTTTATTAATACTAGAAAAGATAGTGCACAATTAGAAAATTTGCAGGATTGTAAGTTTGATACCTAAAATCATTTAGGATGATGGTTAAAACTTTAAAGAGGGACATCAGTATGCTGGGGCTTATATGGTGCATGACATAAAAGAATGAAAAAGAAGATTTTAGTGGATGATATCGTGGTATCGGTAGATATATGTTGGTTCATGTAGCTTCCAGCTGGCCCCTTTGGTTTGTGATTAAGGGTTGATTGTTGTTACCAAATGCTATCTAAACAGTATGACAACACTCAACCACACAGTTTCTTTTTGCTGAAGAATTGTATCACTTTCCTTTCTTGGGATCTCGCTTCCTTGCACACTCAATAACGTTCCACTTACCCTTAGGTTGCCTTCATGAAAAAATATGTTCTTTTCAAGTAAAAACGATGCACTGGTTCCTTCAACCAGCAGATATGTATTAATGGAAATGTTTTCTTGGAGTTTAAATACATGGAGATTAGACCGGTGTTGTATCAGTATGTCGTAGCCAGCTATATCAGACACACAAAAGCTTAATTTTTCTTGTGACCATATTTTTTTGTGCGAAATTCTGGTCGAGCTATCTAGAATGGGATGGTGGCGGTGTTACTGAAGAGGAAGTCCTAATAATAACTAGCTGAGTATATGTGTGCTAAATTTGAATGATTTTAAGAAAAAGCCTTTAAGATTCAAAAGTTTTTGGCTTCAATGTGGTGTCCTATTATAGCAATGGGAAGCTGCTTCCACAATATGCCTTTTCCATTTCAGTTACTTTATGCCACTGATTCCTTTCATCTTACAATATATTCCTAGGGTTCCATGTAGATCTGGTATGTGTACAACACCAATGCATGTCACATCTTCCCAGTTGATTGCCAGTGATATATTTCCTGTTCCAGTTGTGAAGGTCCTTCTGTACCCTGGGGCATTTGCCAATAGCTTGATCAGGAATATGACAGTTCCTAGTTGGGACAATTTGCTAAACATGTACAACCTGACTCGTATAAAGGATGCTTCTGCAGTATCGGACCTACAGCGCTTGGAGGTTTTCCTTTGAAGTCCTTAACTGCCCTTTTTAGTTTTCTTTTACCACATGCCCATCTAAAATAATGCCAATGTGAATATCGTGTTGCATTTGTCTCTTCTGTTGCAGGCAATGCAGCTAGCCATGTAACCTTAATGAAATGATGACCACAAATAGTGTATCATTTTTATTATTCTAATTGTTTCCTATGCGGAATAGTGATTAGGAGTCATTACTTGTCAAATCTGGATTTAGCTTTTTGAGAATCTCAAAATTTGAGAACCAAGAGCAATTCAGTTTTTATATTATGTTCTCAGTGTGTGATCGTGGGCACGTGTTGATGTGCTTTATAGGGGGCGATTCATAACACACTGGTCCTGTGTGTGCTATTATTAGCACACGCAACACTTTTGGGGACCCTATGTTGCCCAGTTGGTGGAGGACAAGCATTGTAATCTATGTTGTTCGGTTTTATATATATATTGGAAGCGGAGAAACCTTGCTTTTTATGTTACTAGTCACATAGAATTGAATGGTGCTTTTACACGTGTGTCTTGTGTTGCTTATGATTTATGATTAGGTTAAAAATCTCCTACATCTCAGTCATATGCTATTATAGCCCGTTTCCGAGGCATGTGCAATATCATTGCTCTTCCCCTGGGCTGGCAGTGATTATTGACAATGTTTTTTTAACTTCGTGACTAAGTGAAAATGATACATTAAACTTCTGTTTCTTATTTTGCTTTGACGTTTTTTGAAGTAATTGCAGCAATGCGTGAAGGGTCTAACAAAAATAGCCTCTGTTGTTTTACAGAGGTATACATCTTGACCTTTCACCCCCCAACAAAGTTGGGATTATACTGAGGTCGTTTCTTGACATTTTTAATCTTCAAGTAAAATTTACATGATTTGGGTACGTCATGTTCTTTGAGTGCTCGCCCACAAAGCTCATCTTTCTTGTTGTCATATATAGGTTCTTGCTGGAAGCTATTTCTCTGTAGCTGGAGCTCTCATTGGCATCATAAAATCTGGAAGGATGAGCATGTTTGGAACACTACTAGTTATTTGGGGCCTTGTAAAGGAAGGTATACTTAACAAACAAGCAAACCCTGATCCTGCAAGGGCAGTCTTTGTCTATCCAACAATGTTGATAGCGTTGGTCTGTTCGTTCCTGTCTGTGAAGTATGACATAAAGAGGGTTATGAGAGGGGCACCAGTAAGAGCCGTGGCAAAGCCTCTGCAGAGATCCTCAAAAAACAAACTGAACTGAGTCCTTCCTGGTACTGATGCTTTTTCTATCAGATGCTTCTTCTCCCATAAATGTTTTGTCATATTATGGGAACCTAATTAAGTATGAGGTATGTTGGAATCCCTTGGAAAATTTGACTGCATGAAAGGGGAAATTTATGTGAAGAAATACTGAGAAGTATGAAAAGCTGCTGTGAGTTGAGATTTTAACTGAGATCTGTCATTTTCCCTTTCTGTTTGCTACTTGGGCAAGTAAAACAATTTTAAAAATGTATTAGTATTTGTTTTTTGTCTTGTTTGAGGAAGTGAGAAGCTGTATGGAGCTTTTTTCCATAAACACCAGATCAGAAAATACACAAAGTCGTCTTCTCGAACGCTAGTTATATATTGTGAATGTGAAAAATAAGTTTTGATAGAAAATATGCATGCGGTTTGATTACCCTTCCTAGATTGATCTTTTTATGTATTTCATTCACACAAATGTCTTTTCCCACTAAATAAGTTTACCCAATGTCATCCTTCACAATGTCACAGTACATTTCCCAATCAATTCAGTTTGAAACTCTTTGAACTTCACACTTTGCATACCTGTTTCTCCATAAGGTAACATGTGACGCATGGGATGTTTTTTGCAAATGAGTTTGTGAATCTGCTCGGAATTCCGATAATTCTTGACCTTTTTCCTCAATGCATGCTCGTATTGCTTTATAAATTTTGCCAGGTTTGTTTTGAGTGAACATAGCCATCAAAGAGTGCATTGATACTTTTCACTACATTGTGTTCTTGACATGCATACGTATATGGGTTGACAATTTGTTAGTGAAGCATACATATGAACATTGAGCAAGTAGCACTAATGAACTCTTCTACACAGAAATATAAGTACACTCGCAAACGAATGTAAAATTTGGGTAGACACCTCTAAATTTTGATAGCACCAAAAATATCGACACGTCGCCTTCGTCAATGGTCTCACAAACATTATTTGTTTTTGAGAAAGTGTAGTTGATATTGAACAACACATAGCACATAAACTAAGGTTGTGAGTCTTACGTACTCCAACATTAGTATCCAAATGAAATAATAAATACTCCCTCCGTCCTAAAAAGTCCTTCACATTTCAAAAAAATGGTGTCTCACAAACTCATTCTCATTTCTATTAAAAAACCACTTTTACTCCTTACTTTTTCATATCCTATCTATCACATCATACCTTTTTCCTAATAATTTAGACATCACATCCTATTTTTACCAATCACATCACGGGTATTTTTGGAAAGTCAACACAAAATTATTCTTCCCTTATTTTGTCACTTTAGTCAAATGTCCCTTTTTTACGGGACGAAGAGAGTATTTTTATCCATGTAACAATGGCTAAGGAAATAAATAGCTGCAAGTTGTTCGGTTAATCTAACACCAGAAACAGACACATGGAAGCCGTCTGTCAATGGCCTCACAGCCGGCGGACGTTGCGTAATTGGCAAGGCAAGAGGTGCCAAGGGGGTAAGACCCTGGTTCGATTTTTGGCAACTGCGCTCGGAGGCAACTATGTTAAACATAGAGTCTATGCAAGTACCAGTTGCATGCTCCATTCTTTGCCACCAATCTACGATGAAATTTTAATTTAGCTCCTCTCAGTGACTGTCCGGGCATATCTGAGGGAACCCTCGGGGATGGGATTCATTAGACATTCTCTGTGAGAAGGTGTTGTTGACATTAGACAACTTTGAGCACAACGACTAACAGACTAAGGGTGTAAGTCTTACGTAGGCACTCCAACATTAGTATGCCATATATGCCTTACACTTTTGGAGAAAGAAACTTTAGGGTCCGTTTGGTATACGGAATTAAAGGAATTGAAATTGAATTGAAATTGAAATTTCATGAGATTCAATTCTATAGAATTGAATTTACCAATTCCAATTCATTTTTTGTATTATCAATTCCAAATCCACTTAAGTTTTTTGCTACCAAACACCAGAATTGGAACTGAAGTCCTCAATTCCAATTCCATACTTTGAATTTCATTACCAAACGAGGCCTTAGTTTCATTGGGTTAAATTCCTGCTTACCTATGAGCCCATGTCACTAGCGATGATATAGGGCATTCGACAGCACCTTGTAGACCTCTTGGATCGGAGTTGTATTTCATCTGTAACAGATGCCAATATCCAGAAGTGCTTGCACATTTTACCAACTCAGCATTTGTATCAACTACCCTAAAAGCAAAACCAATGGAAGGAGTATATGAAAAAAGAGAAATAATTGTGATATATACATTTTTTCATTAAAAATTATTCTCGAATGGGAGAAGTAAATAAAGAGGTATTATACCTTCTTCAATTTTGAAGAGATATCTTTACCTTTTCCATTTGGGGAGGTATATCAAATTTTCCCACCTTTTAAATTTTTTCATCAATTACTTTAGTTATTGTATTTTTGCTTGAATGTATTATTATAAATTTTTAATTTGTATCTTTGTAATTGTAAAACTTAACGAGTCAAGAATTAACAAAAAAAGGAGACTTTTTTTTAACTTTGCACTCTGTATTTTTTAGTGTTTTCTATTCGGGTATTTATAATTTTACATGTGCAATTAAACATAATGTATATTTAATTATTTCAAAACTGACATTCTAATTTTTTTTCCAATAAATTAGTTGTATTTTTATAAAATATTTAAATTTAAAATTTTAATCAACAAAGGCAACAAACCTCGAATTTACCTCCCCATGATTTTTTTAAGAATGTATATTTTCTTTTCTAATAATTAAAATTTGATTTAAGAAGGTAAATCAACTAATTTTTTTCCAATAATATATGGAGATGGATTTTTTCCCTCTTTTGCCTTTTGATTTACCTTCCTCCATTGGAGCTGCACACTTTTTGGAAAGATAAACTTGATCACTTGGAGAGGTAAATGAGATATATAACAATCTCTATTTCAATGTTATTGCACATACAAAGACTTATAAAACTGCATTACTATCTTTGAGACTGAATTTGATGTTTAGTCATTTTTTTAACAATTTGAACATTAAAATATAAATTTATATTAAATTTAAGAATATCAAATAATTAGAATAATGAATATTTAACAACATGGGGCCTTAAAGCAGGGCATGGCAGTGGCAGCAGTTGGCCAGCAACGGTTGGAAGAACAAGATGAGCATTGAATAATTGTAATGAAAATTTTGGTGTTTATAAATGAGCATTATGTATCATTGTAATGAAAAAATGTTTTTTTATGAACAAATGTATAAAAAAAGGTCATTCTGTTGATTTTAAATGAACATACCCGTAAAAATATTTTTTCAAATGCGTGAAAATAAATATTTTGTTAATTCGAAATGAGTATTTGTTGGATGTACCTAGGTCTATGTAATGATCCGGAAAATGAAGATCTGATCTATAACCAAAAATTAAAATGATCCGAACTGAATCGAAACCAAACTAAATAATTCATATCCGATTTAAATCCGAAATTGATTATATCCGAAATTGATTATATCCGAACCAATTAAACCCGGAACTGATTATTATATTAGATCCGAAATCAATAAAATGTGAAACCGACTAAATCCGAAACCGGTAATATCTGAAACCGATTAGAACTAAAACCGATAAAATCTAAAACTATGTTTGCCTTTGAATACTCATTCCCTCATAAAATGGATAACCATCTTTTAAAAAATTTACTTAATCTCATGCCTTGAATTTATTATATTTAGAAATTGAACAAAATTTATACATATAAAATATGGAATGAATAAAGTGAGCCAACTACTTTGTTATTAAGAAATTAGGTTTGAGAGTTGAATGGTGGTGTAAGAAAAGTGATAAGATTAAGGAAGGAAAGTGAAAAAGAATAGGGAAAACTTTGAGTTTTAGGAGAGAAGATTAGACATGAAAAATTAAGTCTTTGATTAGATATTATTTTTAAAAATACAGTATTCATTTCAATTTTCAGTTACAAAATCTAATTAAATTAATCTTGTTTTGAAAAAAAAACTCCCTCCATCTTAGAAAGAATGCTACATAACGCAAAACAAAGTAAAAATTTAATTTTTTAAAATTTTATTTTATTTAAATATTGGTATAGAAATAAAAAATATTTACATATTTAAAAAATTACGTCAAAAGTTTTACAAAATAAGAAGTTAAAACAATAATAGTTTATTCTATCAAAAAATCAATAAAAATGCATAAATAAATAAAATTTCCATAATTTTTAAATAGTGAAGTGTGATATTCTTTTTTAGACGAAAGGATTATATGATGAATTGTATGGAAAAACTAGACTTTATCCTAATAACTTCATCCAATTACAATAAATTTTATTAGTTTGGGAGTTAATTTGATTTGTTTCAAACTAATTCACTTAATATTATTCAAAAACATTAGAGGTTATCGTTATCGTTTTGAAAAAGCTATCTAGCGGCAACGTTTAGTGTTATCATTTTTAAATTTGATCTACACCATTAAATTAAGGTACAAAATTAATTATATTTGACACTATTGAACTTATTCGACAAAAACACTCAAATGATTTGTAAATTCTATACTAAATTGTATTAATCTTATTCAACCCTATCAATTTTAGGAGTAATATTAAATAAGATTCACTTAATTACACCTAATTTCACTTAATTTTTGTCAAATTGTATTTAATTGAAGTGTAATACTATCTGAATTTGTCTTTGATCTTTACATTTATCAACATAAATTTATTAGTAGATGTGATAAAAATATTACATATCAAAACTAAGTTTTAAAATCAATATAATTATGTTAAATATATATCGTAATTAAATATATATTTTTTCATAATTTATATTCAAAATTTGTAAAATATGACTAAAAAGTCAAAAAAGAGATTATTTAGGGCATGGGTAGGGACAATATAATTAGAAAAATGTAAAATAATATGGGATGTTGAATTGATGATAGATTGATAAATGTGATAAAACAAAAAAAGACATAGATAATTAATTTTAATTAGAAAATAATATATATCCAAAATATGTTTAATCAAAATATATTCGAGCTGAAACATATCCGAAATCGAAATATATCCCAATCAAACTAGATTCGAAACTGAAATATATCCGATCGAGATTATACCCGAATCGAAATCTATCAGAATTGATTTATATCTGAACCGTATCTAAACCGATTTGAAAGTGAATCGAAATAGAAAAGTGTATAGAACTGAATCAAATTTGAACTGAAATTAAACTTATTCGAACCGAACTAATTATAACATATATCCAAAAGATATCTGAACCGAAAAATTCAACAATGAACTGATCTGGATGATCAGATCGCAACATCTATCCAACAATGAGTATTGAGAAAGGAACGACAAAGATGTGTGTGTGGTATGCCTTA